GGTCGTGTTCGTTGAAATTACGTCACGCGTCGGTTTTTTCCCCTTAAAAAATTGTCTTTACCCGGAAAACGACGGTGATGACAACGACAGTCGGGTGGTTGAATGCAAAAATGTCGCGTTTATTAACTCGTTCGCGTTTAATTTATATATTTATTATTTTTGTCATATTTTTGGATAATTTTTTTTCCGCATAATCGGTCTGGACGTCATATAAAACGTCATTACAGGCAGTTGTAGTCGTCGTCGCTCGCCACCGTTCACCAGTCATCGCCCAATATCACTGCCGTAGAAAACCAATAAACGGTCCGTTTTCTTTTTCTTTTCACTATTGTAGTTTTTTTTTTCATAGCTCGTGTGTGTGTGATTCGATGGTATAACAACAAGAGATCGGTCGAGTTCGTCCGCCTAGAATGATAATAATAGTAATATATCTCCGGTACTTAAATATATTTTTTTTTCGATAATGCAGGGGGGATATTTTAGTCAAAACCGACGGGCTTGATTTGTATCTTGGCGAGACGATGCGCTGTCGGTTACGCGATTGGATATATTATTGTACAATTATATCGTTTAACGTTGTACAACTGTACAAGCACTTCGTTTTTTTAAATATTTTTACCGTCGTCATTACAATATTATTATTAATATTAATTCTTTACTGGGCACGTCGTAACGAAAACTTTGTTGTTTAATCAGAAGCGTACCGCCGCCCGCCACTACTGTTTGTTTAACAAACTTGCACGTCCTCAGCGGACGCGGTCATCGTCCGCTTGCTTGTAAACAAAAAGCCGCTCAAATTTCCGAAAACTCACGAATTCCACCGACCTCTCGCGCTAACGAAAAGCAGCCGGCTGCTGTTTTACGACCGCGGCGATGGCGTAATATTATCATAGTATTTATTTTGTAAAATGTAAACTGCGAGTATCGAACAATAATGATATAATCAATGGTACTCGCGTTTCTTCTCGGACATGGTAGTATTATTATTATTATTATTATTATGTTTGTTGACGACGCTATCTGAAAACGAAACGTGTAATAATAATAATATAATGTAATTATGTTTAAAATAACATAATACGGTGTAGATAAAATTCGATAAGCGTAATACATTATTAATACGGTGTATAACGAAATATGGGAGGAAAAGGTCGGAAGAATGTAATTACCGCGCCGTCGCGTAAGAAATAGCGTTTCCGGCTGCGCCCGTTTCTCGCGAGCACACACACACACACACACGACACCGCACATTTCCATATGCATAGTACGCATAATAACACACATGTACATTATAATGCACAAACGTGTATAGTATGGTAATCAATTCGTTTGACCTTCCTACCGGGTGTACCCGGATCCTGGTTCGGGCTCGAAGCGCATACCGTGTGTGCGAGTCGAATAAAATGGGCAACGGCCGCTTAAAGTTCGCGTAGAGCTCGTCCACGTTTTTCCACGAGCTGCTACATATTAAGATCGTCGGACGGTTTAGCTCTTCAACCGTTTGATTTATTATCGATTCGTTATAACTTGTAAAGTTTTAAGTACAGCGATTTACTGTTCGGGACGTTCGGGTTATTATTATTGTTGGAAACAGCTCGTCTCTATCTCTCTCTCACTCTCTCTCTCTCTCTCTCTCTCTCTCTCTCTCTTCCGAGACCGTATAACGAGTAACGAGTATAATAAAGCATTTGTAATAATAATATTATAGTTAAGTAACATAATATTATTTCGTTATCGTCTCAATTATTATTGTGTTCGCGACCTTTAGCTACTCGGCCGTGTGTGCCCTGTCGATAACGGAACGAACGCAAACTATCGAATTTTAATAATAATAATAATAATAATAATAATAGTTAATTATTGTTGTGTGATATCCAGGCGATGTACGACGAAAACAACATGATTTCACGCATGTATTTTGTTGCACCTCGTAATAATCGTACAGCGTTGTATTCTTGGCGATTACTACGCCGGGAATGACGACGACAGGTGTGTTTCTTTATAGTCTGTGGCACTCGAAACGCGATAATGTTGAAATATCCTAAACCCTATAAACATCGCATAGGTATTATACAACAATTACTGCCTACAGTATAATAGACAAGTCCGTGCCCCTCGAATATAGTGTTCATTGTACAACACTGCCGAGTATATTATTATTGTCGTCCGACGTACTTTGAGATCGACGCGTTCGGCGGCTGTTTTGGCCACGCTACGCTGTATACACAATAACAAAACTAAATTGTTATCCCCCGAGAGGAGTATGGTATATTATTTACCAACGACTAGCCATGTTCGTCGTATACGGCGACTACAACTAATAAACAGTCATAAGTATTATTGTAATGTACACACACACACACGTTAAGGTTGAGCCGCGCACATGATACGACAGTAATATTATAATAATAATATGACCGGTTCGGTCGGGAAACGACAAAAAGTAGAAAAAAAAATTATAATGAGCCGTCGTCGTCGTCGTTGTCTCGTTAGTGCTAAACGAGTTTGGCGATACGAAGACGATGACGGCGACGACATTTTAATAATAATAATAATGATAATTGGACTGCTGATAAAATTAATTGTATGCAATGAACATATTTTTCGGCGAGCGTTCGAAACGTCGTTCGTCGGTCAGTAATGATAAAATATAGAAAATCGGTTGTCGTCGTTGGGAGACGACGATATCCATTAACACTGCGGTATTTTAATATTATTATTATTATTATTATTATTGTTGTTCAAGGAAACCAGAACGTTTTTTTTTCCGTGTCAAAACGCGGTTTCCTGATAGAATACGACCCGGCGGCTACGGCGTACATTTCGGAATCGACGACACATGAAATAAATAACAATTAAAAAATATTATTATTTACTGTAGAACACGACTTCCATCACCCCCTCACCCTTCCCACCACACACATATTGTGCGTAAAACAATATAATATTATGCACGTATAATAATACCCGTACACAATCCAATACAATTATAACGTTATTAGTTATTACAAATTTCATAATAATATTATACATTGTAAATTAATGTGACGCATTCTTTGTCACGGCATTTCTCGCCACCGCACTCTGTCATACAGTGTGTTCCGGGAACGACGTATACGCAAAATCCCACGCGGAATTATACAGAGTGTTGCTCGCAGTCTGTCAGCGAGTTGTGTGAGGTGGAGCAGGGGAGGGTACACAAACCGGAGCGCTAGACGAAAGACAAAGAAATAGATACGTCGAATCGAACAAAAAATTGTATGCAACGAAAGGACGGGACTTCGAATAACGCGATCGTCATGATATACAGAGTGAGCAACATGTGTTTTCCCGTGAATTCGTGGTACCTATAGGAAAACGGAAAAACGGTGGTCCACCCAGCACTTAAACATGTATTATGTACGAAGGGCGTTAAATCTACTTTGGAGGCGTATTTTCTATTTACTTACAATATGATTGTAACGTGTACATACTTTCCGGTCGCGCTCTGTATGAGCGAATGCGGTAGAAAATAATTTGTTATTCGTATACGACACGAAGGAGCGTCGTGTATATAAAAACCGATTTCGGTTTCGACTGCGGGTTATCGACTATCGGGGGTTATCATCATCCGTAGCAACAACTGTTCGCTTATCACTTATTCACGTTCCGTTTTCAATAAATTCGTCGTCGACACAACTGCACCAACAAAAGTCAAAACGCCTGTGAACTAACTAGTTGTAGTGTGTGGTTTACTAGGAATTTTATTTACCGTAATATAGTACAAATCAACATCGACGTTCATTTCCGCCATTAGTTACTATTATTTATTATCAGTAGTAATTAATCGGTTTCGCGCACACGTACGTGAGTACTTACAATCTTGCTTCCGCACAACCTCATGCTATTTACACAATCGCACAATACATTTTTCCGCGTCTTAAACTGGGTTTAGTTGTCCCTGCGGTAATCTTATTCTCTCTCTCTCTCAAAAATACGTTAAATATTACTACCTGCACTATACCTGCTGCTGGTGGGTTTTAGATTTTTACGATCGAAATCTGTACCTTACGTGGAAAGCGAACAAAAATCTGTTGCGAAACGGTGGCTTCTTTTTTCGGCAACAGGATATAATAAATACCTGCTGTGGTGCGCCCCGTCGCGTGTTGCGCAATAGCCGCGTGGGAGAGTATAATGTAGTTATTATTTCGAACGTATTCTCCGTTTTTTTTTATATTTTTATATTGTATCTTGTTTCGGTCTCGAGACCTATAAAATTGGTAGGACAATCGTTGTCAACGTCTACCGTCGTCGTGTTGTGTGTCGATTACGTTTACCGATGCGCTTATTTTTCTATACACCATGTTCGACCGACAATAGGATTTAATAGCTGCATGGTACCTATATTGTATAATAGTACCTTATAGTGTGTGTGTAATTTGTGCGGTTTATCGAATTCGTATAGGCTGGCGGATCGTGAAAAAAACCCCACAGACAACGGTACAGAAGACGACCGAACTGATCTTGTATAATATAAGAGAGATAGAGAGTATATAGAGAGAGAAAGAGATAGACAACAGGTTAACATGACAGCATAGCACCTACAGTAGGCCCTGTATACGCTTATTATATAAAAATCATACCTTCCGAAACATACGGATGTGCACAATAGACTCGAGCCAACACGGCAATCAGCAGCAGCCGGGACCGTTATGGAAATAGGTACAAACTCAACGTATTTTGGCAACAATCACCGATGGATTGTTGTCGATCTAGGGTGACCGAATATCCGCTTTGTTTTTCTTTATATGTATATTTTAGTACGTCTTCTCTGGGTGATCATTTTTTGATCGTCCAGTTTAAGTCAGTAATTATCCGAAACCACTATAATAGTATATATACCTACTATATATTCTATATAACATAACCCATATTATTATTATTAATATTTATTTTACTATTGACAGGTGTAATAAATTCGTCATATTATTTTTGTTTCAGATCGATCCTCTAAAGGCATCATGAAATTGATGCCCCTGACTCCGGGTCAGGTGTCAACGATAACGCGGCACGGCGGTGGAGTCGGTGTTAGCGGTGGCCTAGGCAGTGGCCTAAGCGGCGGTGCTGCAGTCGGGGGTGGTGCGACCAACGGCGGCACCACCGGCGGCCCGGGTATGACCAACAACGCGGCCGCCGCGGCTTTCGTGTTCAACAGCGGTGCAGCGGCCGCCGCTGACCTGTTCTGGCGTTACCACCATCACCACCCGCACCACGGTGGTGCCTTCAACTTCCCGCCTTCGCCAACCCTGTTGCCACCCACTCCGTTCCCGTCGCCACTCGACTTCAAACACCACTTGCCAGCCAACCTTAGTGAGTGTAAATATAATATTATGCTATGTACAATATCCTAAAAACTCCGTCTCCAAAACATTTCATTTTTTTTAAACTGAATTAATGAAATGTTGTGGATCCGCTAGACAATCGTCCTGAGCGGGTGGGATACTATTTTATAACACCAGTATTTGATTGTTTCTCTCGTTTGCGCAGTTACCGACCCGAGAATCTGGACCAAAGAGGACGTGACCGCGTTCATACAGTGGGCTGAAGTGGAATTCGACTTGCCGCGATTCGAAACCGAACTGTTCCAGATGAACGGCAAAGCGCTGTGCCTATTGACCAAACAAGACCTGGGCGAACGGTGTCCGGGCGCCGGCGACCTGCTCTACAACGTGCTGCAACTGTTGCGGCGCGGCGGTGACATGATGGGCACCGGAAGTGCCGGACACCTGCCCGGCAGCCCGGTCGCCTCGCACTTCCCTTTCAGCCCCACGTGGTGTCTGCCGGCACCTTCTTCGCCGGCCGTCCTCAGCCCGGCCCCGTCCATAGACAGCCAGTCAGACAGCCCTCGGCACCTGGACTACCACCATCAGCAGCCGCCGGTCGGCTCCACCACAACCACAGTCGGCCACCACCTCACGCCCAGCGTGTCTATATTTCCGACGACTCCGACAATTGGTAAGTCGTAAATAGTAAATTATAATATGACATTGTATAATATAGTACCTACTACACTTTCAATTCAGTATAATAAATGTGTCATCACAATATCGTCTACACGTTGACGATTTGATATTAACAAAATTTCACTGAAATTACATTTAAACTAGTACATATCATGTAATTTCTGCCAGATGCGACCTGTACACACGCACCTTAGGTTAACCTGCTTACCGAATTTGGAACAATAATATTCATGATTGTGTGTTTTCCGTTTAGGATACTCGAACAATGGCGGCACGAGCTCTGGCGGCAGCAATCAATCCGATTCCGACCCAGAAGAATCGTCTGCTAGCAGTGGCACGTTGAACTTACCGCCGCCCACGCCTACCACCCCTTCTTCGTCAACGTCACCACCGCCATACTCTCCTTCTACGCCCAAACAGTCGAATGGAAATATATTCTTCCCGTCTGGCGGTGATTCAAACTCAATCGAACCAAATACAAGTATGTTACTGTTGTTTACCAAACAAGTTCGTTTCGATTGATTAACACGTGCCTCTTTGTTTACAGATGGTCGACTCTTGTGGGATTTCCTACAGCAACTGCTGAACGATGGCCAACAGCGTTTCACCGGCTTCATAGCGTGGAAAAACCAAGAAATGGGAGTGTTCAAGATTGTCGACCCCCCGGGTCTGGCCAAACTGTGGGGCATACAGAAGAACCACTTGTCCATGAACTATGACAAAATGTCCAGAGCCTTGCGTTACTATTACAGGGTAAACATCCTCAGGAAGGTGCAGGGCGAAAGACACTGCTACCAGTAAGTTAATATTTTTTATTTTTGGATTTGCTTCCATGTGACATTGTTAATCAACATCATTTTTATCTGTGTAGGTTTCTTCGTAACCCCAGCGAATTAAAATGCATAAAAAATATATCTCTATTGCGTCAGCAAATGGCATCCACGCCTCAAACTCCAACTACAACTACTCCCAAACTCGAATCAACAGGAGATGTATCTGATGAAGACTATAAACCAACCGACTTGAGCATGTCGTGTCCACCCAGCTCGTGGCAGGAAGGACCTCAAGACTTGTCGACAGCGTCGACTAGTTCATCAATGCAACTTCAGCTCAACATGTCTACTTCCATGACCCCACCAGTATCTTCTGGAATGACGAAAGCAGCTCTTAAACTTGAACAAGCTTCATAGGGCAGCTGCCAAATTCCTCCCTCCCCACCGTGCGCCTTTATTAAATCAGCGTATACAAGTTTTACTCAAGAAAAAAGTCTTTATTATATATATATATATTTTTTCTTAATATGTTACCAAGTCGAATGTTTTATTTTGTACGCTAACCACGAACAATTTCCATACATATTTCCTAATGGTATGTTCGGGGTGCAATCCACACAGGGTATTTTATTATATCCAAATTAATAATAATAATAATAATAACAAGATTTAGTAGTACTAAATATGTCAGTTATTAACAGTCTCCGACTGCGCCAATGGCACATCCCTTAAGACTGTCGCACAACGAAATATATACAGCGCAACGAATATGATGCTTGCATCCGAAGAATGTTACGTTACCAGTAGTATATTATGGATTTTTTTTTATAATTAATTTAAAAAAAAATTGACTGACATTATTAAACGCAGTTGACTAGTAAAAGTTTATGCGAGAAAAACACGTCTGAGACTTTGGATTATATTTTTATACAGTTATATATAGCCGAATATATTTTAAGGTTTACATTTTTTATTATGTATAAGCAAATAGGTGATTGATAAAAACAAAAGTGTCTTCCTCAGTATAGAAAATTAAAAGTTAATAAGAATAAATAGTAATTAAAAAAATATGTTGTTATAATTTGTTGAATCATGTACATATGTCTATTTAAATAAATTTATTATTATTATTATTATTATTATTATTTTATTATTATTATACATACATAATAAATAAATAAATATATATATATATTTTTTTTTAAGTGTATTAACTTAATCAAATACCTCATAAGTTTATTACTAATTAGGTTATTAAATTGTTAAAAAAAAAAAACTAAAATACATTTACACAAATTGCCCAAATTGCAATGTACATGCTGTAATGTCTTTCAATCACGTACGGCCAAATCCGTACATATTTATGTATTATATTATAATTATTTATAACAATTATATATTGAAAATGTGATGCCCCAAATTTGTTGTGTACAAACACAGGTTAAGTTAAATTTGGTTTGACTTGTGTTGGGTAATTAAAAAAAAAATATGTAAAATTTTTTTTTATCTACTTTAACGAGACTTGTTGTTTTTGATGTTCATTTTATATAATAATATATAAAAGTATAAATAACTGTTGTCTTCGATACATTTTTAATTATAAGCTAACATTCCTCGTAATAAATCATTATCCTTTACATCTTTTTTTTTTTAATATTATTAAATATTTTTTCAAAATTGCATATTAGAATCATTTCAATAAGGCCTATGTAATATAATATAACAGTTATATACATTTTTATTTTTCAAAATTTTATATGTCAATCATGTCAGGAAAGAGGAATATGTTAATTTTATTTGTAACACGACTGTGTAATTGACTTGCTATTCGTGGATAGTTCAATTTTGTATTAATTACATTAATAATTATTAATTTTTTTTTCTTGTTGTATTTTGTAGTAGTATTATTATATGATATGGTCTCATATTCAGGGTTTAAAGAAAATACATTTATATAATATTTTATTTTAGAGTTTATGTACATAAAGCTCACTTGTTGTAAACTCACGGGTAAAATTTTTAAGAATTTGTTTTTTTTCTTTTTGGAAACGATTTTCATTGCTTGTATGTTGTTTTGTAGAGGTTTAAAATTATTACTTATTGATCTCTAAAATAAAAGAAAAAATTAAAAATTATTAAAACCCTAAAGATAAATAGTTATTTTGTAGTACATACTATATTATTATGTATAAATATATTAATTTTCTTTTTTAGTAGCAAATATAGAATCAAAGACCTGAGATGTTTGTTGCATTTGATTAAATGAAAATAAATTAAGATTTTTTTTGTTGTAAATATTTATATATAAAAATATAAAATATTGTATAATATTTTTGAAACAAAAATTGTTTATTTGTTTGGTTTTTGTGAATCGTATTATGATACATACATTTTTCATTTGTACAAAAATATAACACATTGAATTATGAGCCGTTTTTGTATGGAATTAAAATGTGTATACATTTGAAGAAAACTGTTAAATCATGTACAGTACTACAGTGTCACACTTATTACCTAAACCACAAAAGTCGGTCACTTACTAGTTACCAGTCGAATAGAAAAGTTGGAAATAACTTACAAGTTATAATTTTTGGCAACTTCTAACCTGAACTGATTATTTATTTATAATTGTCCCTTCAGTGACTAATATAGCTAGTTTGAATTTCGGTATTTCACATGAAGTAACAGCTAACAATTGATATTTTGGACATAGCTAAAATGTTGATGAAAAAGGTATAAAAAAAAAATACACAATAGTCAATAAACAAATTACTTTTCGTAACAGTACTCATACTAAGATTTTTAAAGAAATAAAAACATAATATACACATTTTAAAAAAAACCTAGTGTATAAAAAATATATTCTGTCAGTTTTATTAAACTATCTAGTTACACTGACAATTTTGTTCAATGTCATAGAGTGATTTTAATTAGAAATGAATTGGTCTGGATTTTTCTCAGCCTCGGTAAGTACACTGCACATACTATGATGCAGCACTATTTTGATGTCCTACAAGGGGTTGACATACTGACATGTCACCCTCCTGGAAGATGTAAAATGTAATGTTTTTCATTTAACACATTAAGATGCATATCAACATGGACCAGAATAACAGTGGAAGAAGATAATATAGGTCTTGTGTATGCTCAGTGCTTACAGAGAGAAACTAAACGTTTAGTGAAAAAGTAATGGACACCTAATAGTGTATCTACCTACCTATTCGAAAAAAATATAAAAATTATTTGTACAGTTCAAAAAAAAATTTGTAGTCTGAATGTTTTGAATGATATTCATTGTTCGTTGATAGGTAATGTATAGGTAATCTAAAACGATGAGGTAAATGCACGTGCTCGTATTGCCTGCAATAGTGCATAGTGCATGATAACATAAAGGAACTCTCGAGATCACAGTGAGCGGTTAAGATAGAGGTTCAAAATGAATGTATGTAAATTCTAATCTTAGGATACCCAAATAGAAATTATATCAAATTGTATGTTGAAAAAGGCTCCAAACATGGATTGGTGACCTGGGCACCAATGATATGCAGTATACTGTAATATTTAAGAAATATGTATAATAAAATTTGTTTTGACTGAATAGTTCAAATTTTGATTCTTATAATATTTTATGATTTTTTAGGTGCCCGAATGTCTGTGACCATAGTAATATTTAGAATATTATATAGACGGGTGATGGGGGATGAGGGGGAGAGAGTAATGTTTTTCTAGAAATAATAATCGTGCAATTGCAGTTGCATCTATACAATATTATATGTAAAATAGCGGTTGCAGTATGACACGAAGGCCTTGGCCCCTTCCATTATAACCATAATATTATATTATCATCGAACATCATACACGGTGCTGCAGTGTCGCGTTTAACGTCGAGTCCAACAATATTGTTTTCGTCATTGAAAAACGGTCGCGTGTCGTTAAATAGTATCATAATATATTTGTTTTTTTTCGCATCACCCGACGACGTATGATAAGAGCAGAGTAGCAGACGACAGGTTGTTTTAATTTAAGGATGCTAAGGTATGGGGGGGGGGAGACGAGCTGGACCGCGACACCTGGCCCGGTACCAACAGACCTCGCGAGCGGCCGTTCCGCTGCGATAGGAATCCGTCGAGGGCGGCCAAGTAGACCGCGACCGGACCTTCGGCCCGTTCTACTTATTGCTGCAGGCCTCTCGTCTCATCCCCGGGCATATTTAATGTAGAACGTCCGTTTTATCATCCTCCTCCACCCCGCACTTCTCCCGCGATACCGAGTGGACAAATAAGACGGTGACTCCGAAGATTGTACCTACAAAAAAAAAAAAATACAAAATAATAAAAAATCGATTCAACCATCACAAACGTTTTCGGCGAAGTATCTTTTCCAAAAGACAAAATGATTCGTCATCCAGTATTTAAAGTCGCACTACGACTACATATAAAGTAATTTTTACAGAAGACATTTATAAAAAGAGGGTAAGTGGATGTCGCTCTGCTGTACAGTAGGTTACAAGTGGGTCGTTGTATAATGGATTGTATTAAAATTGAATTCAATGATATAATATCATTGTACAAGAAAAACGATTCTGAGCGGAGACGGTTTGTCAGGCTGGATATTTTATATTGTTATTATTTATTATAATAGCATGTAAGTTGAATTAATATTATTATATTATTATTAGATTCTGAGCGGAGCAAGGAAGCTAGTGGTTTTACAATGGTGTTTTTTTTTTTTTTAGATTCTGAGCGGAGCGATGAATGTATTGGTTTTACAATGATGTGTGTTTTTATATTTTTATATTTTTTTTTGTGTCTGTCATCACGTTTTGGGACAGTAAAAGTGCTTAGATTTTCTTCAATAGTACCTTTTCTGATAGGAAAGTGAATCTAGTTGGTACTTTGGGGGGTCAAAAGTAAACATTTCCCAGTAGTTTTCACAAGCGCCGGGAAAAAACAACATAAAAATTAAGGAAAAACGGGAATTTTTACGCAAAATTGGTTTTCCAAAAAATTGATTTTGGTTTTTGGTGTAACTCTAAAACAAATGAACGTATATACATGGAATTTTCACTGGTTGTTTATATTTGCATTTTCTATACATGATAACATTTTCAAAATATTTTGATTTATTTTGAACTGTTTAGGGACATTTTCATTTTCCATTTTTTTTTAGTTTTTTTTCTAAAAATATCAATAAAATTTTATTTGTTGGTTGCGAAAGCTTGAAAATTTAATAGAAGGCTCCTAATATATTGTTTCAAAGGCAGATGAAAAATATTAAAAATCCTTAGTCACAATTTTTTTTTATAAGCATTTAAAGTTCAAAAATTGTAAAAATATGGAAAAATCACCAAAATTAGCGAATTATTTTGAGTTAAGAATTCGTAAAAATTTTTCTTTTTAAACCTAAGATTTGAAAAT